AGGAATTAGCTACCTTTGCACAGTGGCAGGGCACAGTCATTGCTGGTTGAAAAATTTACTTATTTAAAGGACAATTCATGCCTTGCCTACCTTTTAAATGCTTTTATTTTTATAAATCAAAGCAATGTCATTATTTGTTGGCACAAAAGTCCCCTCAGGTCTGATCCTGTCCTCTCTATACATAGAACTCCCCTGTTAAATAAGTTGGAAGAGTTTTATATGTGAAGTTTCCAGAATCCACCTTTACTAGTTTTATCTGTCTATCTATCAGTATAGATATATATGTAAAATCAAGTGTATATTGATGTATATATATTTGTATTTTGTTGTTAGGGAAGGAGATATGCTGCAGCTGTAATCTATGCATGTGTTTAATGGGATAAGATAAAGGGACAAACTGTCTCCAATACACTACTTCTCTAGTTAAACCAAATTTATTTTTCAGTGAAGATACCACATGATTGCCATAAAGGCCTTTTTGTATCCTTAGAAAGGGGTTCCTTTAGAACAACCTATTTCAGAAGCATTTGTAAATCATGCATTTACATTCATTATGTGCATTATCACGTAATTATTGCTGTTTTCATTTTTGGCTACAGGTGACTACACTCACTCAAGAGGTTTCCCAGTTAAGTAAGGACGTGAAGAATGTGATGCATCTTTTAGAGAATTTACTGACATCACAGAAGCCTCTCGGGTTCTGTGCAGTGCATGGCCCATCTAGGAGTCCTACAGTAGAAAGCTTACAGACTAGAACAACTTGGACTTCACATCAACCCTGCATGCACATGCAAGCTGGGAATGTTACTTGCACCAAAGCGCAACTTCGCCACGGTAACACCACCCCTGACATTTGGAACGTGGATTCATCATCTGTTGGAAGCAGTCCCCAAAGGACTGAATCCAAAATTCTAAATTCTACGGACGGTGAATTTTACTATACTTCAGGCCTTGAATATTCACCTTCAAATTATCAGGTAGTTGAGAAAAATCATTTGCAATTTTTAAGATGCACCTCTCTGCATTCAGATACTACCTTGACTCCTCTTCAGTCTATTTCAGCAACTCTTTCTTCTTCAGTATGTTCCTCATCAGAGACATCATTGCACAGATGCAGGAAAAGTAGCTTTAGTCAACGGCCAGTCAGTTCGCTAAGCCTTGAGAACCTGCCAGGGTCTTGGGACCTTCACAGAACAACAGGGGTTGTTTCTGCACAAACCTCAGAAGCTTTCCCACTACATGTTGTGAGAAGCACAATGAATATTAAAGATAGCCAAGCCATAGATGTATAATGATATACCGACAAGTGGTACTCAAAGCATGTTCTACAGCTGCCAGTTTTAAATTTATAAAGTACTGCATGACTGCTTTGTTTTGCCTTTTCTCTGGTGATCATTGGGACTAATAAACATGAAAATTTGGATTTATAGGAAGTAAGTGGATATGAAAAGATATAACCAGTGCACACAGTAGGAAACAATTTCAAGATTCTAGAAGCATGTTGAAAAGCATTTTGTATACAGATGTCACTTAGTGGTCTGTTTGGCAGACTTTTGTGATAGTCCAAAGACCCTGAGGGTCACAGAGCAGCTGGAAGTCTAGGACAAAAGAACTGTCATAAGCGGTTTTTGTTGCTTGAAGCAAAAGTTTTCTTCTTGAGTGTCTGATTGTTGTTCCCAAACAATATCCATGGCACTGTTTGCTTCAGGTGATCATGAGTCCTGCTGGTCTGTTTGTCAGTTCTGCGAAGGCAGAGAGACAATTATCGCTGCATGTCTTTTCCTAGACAAACAACCAAATAGAGCTGGTAGAGAGTGGTTAGTTGTTGCACGTCATTTGTCATGTAAATGAAACCTCTTTATCTATCAAGAAAAAAAAGCTATTTTTATATACTTGGTATGAAATATGTATTTAAAACTATTTAAAATATTTATAAAGAGAATAAGGGTTTGTTTTCATTTTGGTAAAAGCTTGCAGTTTTAATGACAAATGCACTACCATCATGTATTAGATCAAATTATTTATTGTTAATGATGTCGTTTACAGCTGGATTTCCTTTTATCTGCATGCAGTTTGCAATGAATGTATCCATGCTGTGGAATTCACATAAAAATAGGTGATATTTTATTTAAAAAAATAAAAAACCTGGAATGACATATCTCATGATAAGTCATATACTGATATTCTAACCTGTAAGCTGTGCTACACTAATGACATTCAGTATCCTTGTTTTGTATCATAGCATTGTATTACTGCTTCTATTGTTAAGGCTGAGTCAACATTTCAACAGAAATCCCTGTTCTTTGGGAGGTTAATTATCTTTAGTCAACCAAATACAGAGAGCTGAAAATTGGCAGGTAGATTTGCAACCTTAGAGCAATATATTTTTAAATACAAATTTTAAAATATTAGGTTGTTTTAACAGGTACAAAAAAATAAACAAGCATACTATTGTATTTATCTATTGGTTTGCATTTGTATACCTAAAAATAGCTTTGCTCTTTAAGGAAAAATCATGAGACTTAATAAGTTGTCCATAAAAAAGGTTTAATTGCTTTTGGTATTTTGAAATCTTTTTTTCTAGTGCTCATTATATTAGAACTTTAAATAGTAACTACCATGTATGTGCAGCAGCTGCTTTCCATGGGGATTTTATATGCATTTTCAAGATGTAGGGTTTGCATCACGAGACCATATTCAAAACAAGTGTTCTAAGTAAATAATATACCAACTGTAAATCATGAGAATATTTTAAATAAGGAAAAAATACAATGAAGTCATATTTAAATAATACTTCTAATCCAGCAATCCTTATACAGCTACTACTCAACTGACTTCAAATCTATAACAAATTTATTTCAGTGGGAATTTTGTCAGAGAATCTAAGGACTGCTGCATTGTTAGGTTTGGGTACACTAGGTAACACAAAAAAGCCTGTTAACTTCTTTTTAACTCACTTTGTTTCATATTTTCATCATCACTGGTATAAATAAATGGTGCCGGTAGCTTTAATTTGAACTGTTTGACTTTTGTCAGCATGTCACAATTTTAATATGATTGTTTATATACCATTTTTTCTGTTTAAATATTTATATGAGTTTGAAGCTAAATACAGAAAGTACTAGATAAGCTAGAAATGTAAGATATCAAAGAAATGAATAAGGTAACTGATAGAATACATTTTTTCTGTTATAAATGTAATTGATATCTTACATTTCTAGCTTATCTAGTACTTTCTGTATTTAGCTTCAAACTCATATAAATATTTAAACAGAAAAAATGGTATATAAACAATCTATATAAACAATAGTATTCTGATAGAACCAGAATGCTCCATTCTTTGAAAATGCCTAGAGAACAAATTGTTTTGAAAATTTGGTCACTTTTTTTAGAGTTCAATTTTCTTTGTGTTTCTTTTGTAGAGAAGGGGAAAGGGATAGAGAACAGGAATATTAAAAGTGATTCACAAATCAATGCTATTTGAATCCCCAAACTGGGAAACGGGTGAATGGTAACTTACTGTTTCTGTAGAGAACTGTATGGACCCAGTTCAGACTACCATTTCTATACACCTGGGAAAGTTGTAGCAACATTACTGCCACATACAGCTTCCCCTAACATGCGCGGAATGTGTACATTACACAACATAAAGACCTGTTGCAATCCCAAAACAGACTCAGAGTGGCACAGAAGGTTCACTCACCTGTCAGTGGCTTCTCCTTGGTGGGCTGCTAGGAGGTCTTTTCTTGTTACAGCAGCCTTAACATCAGTAGCAATTTGCTACTTGTGAAGCAGAGTCATTAGCATACCACTTTGTGGGGAAGTAGGAAACTCAGAGTCATTAGCATACAACATGTGGGAAGTAGGAAAAAGAACAAAGGTAACATTGGACCCCTGTGAGAGAAAATGGGGCAGCTGATGTCTGACGTCCATGAAAAGGCCAATCTCCTAAACAAATACTTTGCATCAGTGTTCCACCCACCCAAGGGGGTCACACAGTCTGACAGAATGCAAAACTTCCAGGGACTGGGAGATGCACCCATAATTGACACTGATCAGGTGAAGGAACACCTCGGAATGCCAGACATCTATAAGTCCACAGGCCCGGATGGAATGCACCCAAGAATCTTGAAGGAGCTGGCAGACATCATAGCATACCCTGTGGCAAAGATATTTGAGAATTTGTGGCACTTCGGTGAGGTGCAACAACACTGGAAAAGAGCCAATGCGGTCCCAATCTTCAAAAACGGAAGGAAGGAAGATCCAGGAAACTACAGGCCAATCAGTCTGACGTCCATCCCTGGAAAGATCCTGGAGAAAATCATTAAGGGATCCATCAGCAACAAGCTAATGGAAGGCAAATTTCTGAATGCCAGCCAATATGGCTTTGTCACTGGAAGGTCTTGCCTGACCAACCTCATCACCTTCTATGACCAGGTGATGCATTGCCTCGATAAGGGAGACGAGGTTGATGTTATATACCTGGATTTCAAGAAAGCCTTTGACTTGGTCTCCCATGATGTCCTCATGGTTAAGCTGGGGAACTGCGGCCTCAACCCTCTCACAGTCCGATGGCTGGGGAACTGGCTCTGGGGTCAGACCCAACGAGTACTAGTTGAAGGGAGTGAATCAGTGTGGTGCAAGGTGACCAGTGGAGTCCCTCAGGGCTCAGTTCTCAGGCCAATACTCTTTAACATCTTCATTAATAATCTGGATTCAGGAGTCAGATGTGGACTGGTAAAGATGTGGACTGTGTTTTACCAAACTATGGGGAAGGCAACCACACTAGAAGACAAATTGGGGATACAAACCAACCTGGACACCCTTGCAAAGTGGTCAGGCCAAAACCTGATGGCATTTAATGTAGAGAGGTGCAGGGTGCTTGACCTTTGAAGGAACAACAGCATCATACTTATAGGTTTGGCAGTGCTGCGCTCACCATCACTATGACTGAAAGAGACTTGGGGGTCCTGATGGACCACAAAATGAATATGAGCCACCAATGTGATGCTGTGGCTGGCAAAGCTAACCAAACCCTGTCATGCATCCATCGATCCATTTCTAGCAAAACCAGGGGTATCATCCTCCCACTTTACCTGGCCTTGGTGAGGCCACAATTGGAATACTGCATCCAGTTTTGGGCCTCTCAGCTCAGAAGGGTTGTGGATAGGCGAGAAAGAGTCATAGATACATAGATTCTGGGGTCAGAAGGGACCTCAATAGATCGAGTCCAAACCCCTGCAGAGGCAGGGAAGAGTGCCGGGT